GTGGGACAGTTCTGTATTCTGTCAATTATGCTTTAAATAAATGCTGATTGGCCCATTAGTTCAGGCTTTGTATTAGCTCTTATAACTTATATTAACCCATTATTCTTATCTATGTTAGCCACATGGCTTGGTACCTTTTTCAGTGGGGCAGGTCACATCCTGCTTCTTTGGTATCTGGACAGGACTTGGGAGAGAGCTTCCTTCTTTCCAGAATAGTCCTGTTCTCATTGCCCTGCCTCTACTTCCTGTCTGGTTGTCCCGCCTATACTTCCTGCCTGGCTACTGGCCAAGCAGTATTTATTTAAAACATAATTGAAAGAATACAGAATTGTCCCGCATCATTCGAGTGAGCCATGTAACTAACATAGATAAGAATAATGGGTTAATATAAGTTATAAGAGCTAATACGAAGCCTGAGCTAATAGGCTAATGTTTATAACTTATGTAGACCTCTGATTTTCTCTAGGACTAAACAACTGTGGGAACTGGGCAGGACAGAAACCCCAACAGAGCAGGCCCTCATGTTACAGTCCATTTTCAGCTGCAATAAGATCAAGGCTGAGTTTCTCATAAACAGAGACATTGCTTAGTTCAAAAATCTGTAAGTACAAGAGCATGGCACCAAGAGCTGGGTGTGTGGTGGTGCATGCCTGGATTCCCAATACCCAGGATGAGGTAGGAAGTTTATGCAGAAGTGCTGCTTACTGGCTTGTTCCACATGGCTTCCTAAAACCTGGTTTCTTAAAAACAACAACCAAACAAACAAACAAAAAACAAGACTACCTACCACCCACTGTGAGCTGCGTTATCCCCATCAATCACTAATTAAGAAAATGCTTTTCAGGACTTCCTACAGCCAGATCTTATGGAGTCATTTTCTCAGTCGAGGTTCTCTACTATCCAATGATTTTTGCTTGTGTCAAGGTGACATAAAGGTAGCCAGAACAAGTATCATTGCTTTATATAACTATCGAAAACAACTGGCCTGCTATAAACACAAATGTGGCAAGACATTTTGTTTGTTTGATGGATTTCAAGACAGGGTCTCTGTAGATGCCCTGGAACTCACTATGTATACAGGCTAGCCTTAAACTCACAGAGATCATCCAGTCCCTGCTTCCCAAGTGCTGGGATTAAATGTGTGTGCCACTAAGCCATTGACATAAGCTTTAGAACTGTTTACTGTAATAAACAGTCTATACACAGCAGTTAAGTTGATAGAGCTTATCAATGTGACATACCCAGAACAGAATGCCTCATCTTCCCTGTCTGCCCGACATCTCTTAGTCCCACAGAGTACCCAATCTTGGTGAATGGCAGCCTCAGCCTTCTAGTTATGAGATCAAAAATCCTTATAGTCTTGACTACTGCAGGTACATACATGAATAGGCACAAAAGGTAATTTCTGTAGAGATGACATTTAGTGGAGATTGTCTTAGTTAGGGATTCCATTGCTGCTACAAAACACCACGGTCAAAAGTAATTTGAGGAGGAAAGGGTTTATTAGGCTTACAACAAACACCAAAGCCTGATATTTTGAATTTGGCATTGCTTTTTTTTTAACACTGAAGGAATTCAGACAGGAACTCAAACAGGGTAGTATTCTGGAGGCAGGAGCAGATGCAGAGGCCATGGAAGGGTACTGCTTACTGGCTTGCTTCCCATGGCTTATTCAGCCTGCTGTCATAGAACCCAGGACTATCAGCCTAGGGATGGCACCACCTACTTTGGGCTGGGCCTTCCTGTAGGAGGGAGGGCAGCTTGTTCTTTTCGGCTGCCCAGCTAGCTTAGACCCAAAGTAACCACACAGAAACTGTATTAATTAAAGCACTGCTTGGCCCATTAGCTCTAGCTTCTTATTGGCTAACTCTTACATATTAATTTAACCCATTTCCATTAATATGTGTATCACCACCAGGTCGTGGCCTACCAGCAAAGTTTTAGCACATCTGTTTCCAGTGGTGGCTCCATGGCATCTCCCTCTGACTCCGCCTCCTTTCTCCCAGCATTCAGCTTAGTTTTCCCTGTCTACCTAAGTTCTGCCTTGCTCTAGATCCAAAGCAGTTTCTTTATTCATTAATGGAATCACAGCACACAGACAGGACTCCTACAGCACCCTCCACCACTGACACTAAATGAGAAAATGTCCTTCAATTGGACCTCCCTGAGGCATTTCCTCAACTGAAGCTCCTTTTCAGATGTCTCTAGCTTGTGTCACACTGACATATAAAACCAGCCAGTACAGAGATGGGGCAGTAAGAATAAATATACATACTAAGTCAAATGCATAAATTTTAAATGTATGTGGCATAGTACTAATTAATTTTAAATATGTGGAGATTGACATGCAACAGAAAAATTAGAGCAAGATAAAGAGGAAGCAAGGTGTTAGGTGGAGGTTCCAATGTGAGTCAGCGTTAACCTTATTGAGGAAGAAACACTTTGGTAAGGAACTGAGAACTAAAGAACTTTTGTCCTATAACTACTACAATATATTATATATAACATACATACAAAACACAAAAAACCCAGTGATATGAAACTCATCTTAAAACAGACACGGAAAGCAATAATACCTAAATTTGGCAAGATCTGATTTTCTGATTCTGAATCCTGCCTTGACTTCTGAGGATCTGTGAAGCTACAATAGTGATTATCCACCCAAGTGGCTAACCACAAAGTGAATGTAACGTGTCTTGAGGGAGCATGTACTTTTACCCGTGTTACTGTTTTGGATGACAGCACAATTCACTTACAATCATTACTGAATTCAAAGTCAACAATCACCAATGTCACAACTATTAAATGATTTTATGTAAAATTTCAGCATCAAAAGGGAAGTGTGGGCAGCACAGTACTAGGAGGTTTGAGGCAAGATGGTTCCCAGACCAGCACAGGCTATCCAGTCAGAATTCACCTCACTTTTGTTAAAGTGTATTATTTAAAAAAAAAAATGCTATGGAATCTAGGAGTCATTTAAACTGTGTCATCATCTAGGTATCAAGAAAAAACTGAATTTCTTTCTTTCTGTAGAGTTGTAATAAAAAAAATTCTGCGTGGCTTCACAATTAGAGAAACACGGTGCATATTTGGTGCTCGGCCATGTATTGTAAAAAGCTGAGGTCATATCATACCTAAAGAACTGGCAATTTTTCATTGCCAACTGGGCATGATTGTTACCAAAAGTTTATTTTTGTTTTCTAAATCGTAGGGAGAAAAAAAAAAGAAAATTCTTGCAATGAACCAACAGATCAGACATACCAATGAGCAGGCAGGAACTTCTCAAATAGAGTCTTTTCTTTATGACATAAACGTGATAGGAAAGACCCCTATTTTGACTTACATCGTTCCGTTAACAACAAAAAGTAACCAGATGTGAAATTCAGTCTGGCCGTTTTTAGTTTCAGATCCTGAAATTACTGTGGCTGAACACAGAAAAGCCCTAACATTGTCTTTGCCGGACAGGGCTCTCTACATTTTACTCATCCTCTTAAACTCTTAGAAAATTAAGACTTTTATACTGTTTCTTTCATTTTATAACGGCAGCGTAATACACTATGGAGAAGCAGAAACAATGCCCTTCGCATTTTCGACCAAGGCTACAGGCAGCTCCCAAACCCCTGCACTAAGGCACTTAGCCTTCAGGAAGCACGGTGGTTTGAGTGAGCTCCTGCGGCTGCGCAACGACGTCATCACCGGCGCGACGCGCGGTGGACGGGGCAAGCCCTAGAGGCGTCCTCGCCCGCCCTCTAATGGCCGACGGTTTCGAGACCTCGCGCCGGCGCTTGGCTCCCTCTCCCGGAGTCTAGCGCTGCCTGCGCGTGCGTTGACTTCCTGTCGCTAGGAAGGCCACGCAGGGGCGGCGACTCCAGGGCCGGCGACTCCACGCGAGTGGCTGTCGGTCCGCCCGTCAGCTGGTCTGGACGTCGCCTCTCGGCCGCCATGGCTGAAAAGCAGGTGGACTCTGGAGAGCCGGAACCTGATAGTATGGTGGCCTCCAAAGCGGGACCTGAGGCGGCCTCGCCGGCGACCTCGGAGTCCGGCGACTACGACCACACCTGCGTGTTCTGCCGCGTGGCGGCGGGGCGGGAGCCGGACACTGAACTCTTGCACTGCGAGGTGGGCGGCGACTGGCCGGGGTGGGTGGGACCCCGACCGCCCTGCCCTTCCCTACCAGCTGGCCCCTGGCTCCCCGCGGACCCGGTGGACCTAGACTGTGACCGACTTCTCTTTGGGACCCGGAGGCCTGCAGCGGTCCGTTTGCTGCTCTGTAGGGAGACACAGTAGCGACAGAGCCAGGCACCCTTGCCTCCTGCACTCGTTTGCAACACAGTGCACTCTGCCCTTGATTTTATTATCGACAGTCGTCAGCGTCTCTAGATAGTAATTTTAAATTCTGCACACTTCTGCTATCGGTAGAGAGGAAAAAACTGGCAGAAAATAGAACACGGGCGTGGTGAAGAAGCCTGAGTTCTGTTGAAAATAGGCTGGGATGGGGTTTTGGGACTGGGTCTGAAGTAGAATTGTCACTTAACAGTGACTTGTCAGTGACCATACCACTGAAGAAACTGTTCTCTCCTCCATCAACCATGAGTTCCGCCCCTCTTCATGGCAAGACATTGCCAGGTTCAGTCCTCTGCAGATCACGTGCAGGTAATCGTGGCTGCTCTGAGTTCTAGAGTACAACAGCCGTGCCATTCCTGGACATCATATTCCATAAATCCCCTCCCCCCTTTCCTCTGGCTCTAACTTTTTTTGTACCCCATCATCCTGAATAAAAATTTAATCTTTTTTAGAGAGATTAATAATCTTGCATTTAAATTCAAATTCTCATCACACATATATTTGTTGTAAATACCTGAACAGATTGGGCTTACATAAGGAGTGATATACTTACATAAGTAAGTACAGAGAAAATGATTTGATTTGGAATAATCAGAGTTACCAGCATTATGAAGAATTTGTTTGAAGAATTTCCAACAAAAGTCAGAGAAAATTCCTCACTTCACAGATTTCTGTATAATTTTCTTATTGCATTTTTCAGAATTCATTTGAGTAAAGGGTACACAACATATTCTTATCAGAGGGCATTATAGTTCCGAAGGCGTGTCTTACTCTTTGTGTATGAGGCACAAGTATACATATAATACATAAATACGATGGCCAGCATTCGTATCTCATGCTTTTGATATGAATTTTCTGTAAGAGCTCTGAGAAACAGCTGGGCATTTGTGGCCAAAACATTTATATCTACAGAGTGAGTTTGAGGACAGCCAAGGCTACACGAAGAGAAAAAGAGGGACTCTTAGAAATGGAAAAAATGAAGTACCCTAGGTTAAATTTCACCATGTATGAGCCCATACTAAGCAAATATTTCAGTGCTAATTTAACTCTACTTTTGTTAATCAAAATTGTCTTGACACCTTAGCATGGTACTAAGAAATAATTCTTTCAATATACTATCTTGTTTTAGATACCAAGGTATAGTTAGTGGGAAGAAATTGTTGTAGAGATTTTAAGCAAAAAATATTTGGGAATTATTTGTTAGAAAACACATTGGAAGAATGGGAGAAGCTGGTTCTAGAATAGTCTATAAAAATTATAACCAGAACAGCACGGTAGAACCTTACACAAGATAAGTGTTTCTGCTCCTTGCTGTAAAATTAGACTCTATCATAGAAATAATTTCATAGCTACATAGAGATCCTTTGCATTCCCTTTTATAACTATTCAGTGGCTTGTTGAGTAGTTTTAAACATTGCCTTTGAGTTATGGACATTTGGCTTCTTTTCAGTTTTTTGTTCTGTTAAGTCATACTGTAAAGATCAGCTGTGACTGGAGGTGCAGCTCAGTGGCAGAACTGGCCAAGCATGTTAGGTCCTGGGTCTGATCCCCAGCACTGCAAAAGAGAAAAAGAATTTAAAAAGTAGATATGTGGATATAGACACACAATTTCATAGTTTTGACATCATAACTTTGGAATTGGATCTCTTTCTCTTTTTCAAAAGTAATAGTTGAGTCAGTAGTAACAATGGAAGAGAGTAATAGCACAGAACCAGTATTTTAAAAGCTTAGTGGAAATACAAGTAACAGCTAACTGAAATATCAAGTTTCTTTGTCTTTAAATTTAAAACATAGTTTATTGTATTGGTCTGTGGTATATGTGTACTTGTGCAAATGTAGGGGCCAGCTATGCATGTCGGGTGTCTTTTCCTACTGCTTTTCACCTTATTGCTTGAGACAGAGTCTCAACCTAAAACTTGTAGATTTAGTAGACTCACTTGGCTCAGCAGACCCCACCAAGGACCTCCCATCTGCACCAACGAGCTCTGTTATACCTGACTTTTTACGTGGTGCTGTCTTCTGAACTTGAGTTCTCAGCTTGTGTGGCTTGCACTTTACTCACTGAACCTTCTCTTTAGCCCACGGTGTGATGGTTTTATCTTAACCTTTTCTAAAATAGTCTGTTGTTATCAGTGCTTATCTGATACTAAGACTGAAATAAAATAGATCAAAATGTAGTTGTTGTGCTTTTATCTTAGATAACTAAGATTAACAGTATGGGTGTGAGGTTCTCCTGACATTGAATTCAGATTCCTAAGATGGGAATTGATGGATAACAGTATATCCAGGGAATTTTGCTGAGAAAACTGTTTATTGACTTAACCTTTAATTTTTAGTGAAGGAAGCTTACACTAGGGATGGGAAAATGTATAGTGAAATTTAAAACCAAGACTTTTTTCTTTTTGATTTTTCAAGACAGGGTTTCTCTGTGTAGTTCTGGCTGTTTAGAACTCTCTCTGTATACCAGATTGGCCTCAAACTCAAAGCAGTTCACTGGCCTCTGCCTTCCAAGTGCTGGGATTAAAGGTGTGTGCTATCACTTCTTAAAACTGAGATTTCTGGTAAGGAAATTTTAATGAATTCTACTTATAATTAATTGTTCCTTGAAATCGACCTACTATAATAAATACCCCATGACAGAAGCTTAAGCTTCTTTTTGTGAATTTAAATAAGGTACAGTCACAAAATTGTTCATTAGGCATAAATTGTAACTGAAATACCATTTTCCTTTTGTAGATTTATAGTGCATAAGTCACAGCAGAGCAGAATAATCTTGGTTTTATTTTAATTTACTAACAAATATGCCTCCCTCTATAGAATGAAGACCTAGTTTGCTTCAAAGATATCAAACCAGCAGCGCTTCATCATTATCTTGTGGTGCCAAAGAAGCATATTAGAAATTGCAAGGAACTGAACAGAGATCAAGTAGAAATGGGTAAGATGGAAACAGTGTTCTCTGTAGCTTTATTACATGGAATTGTCTTTAAATATGACAGTGCTGATAAAAAAAGGCCTAGTGAAATTATCAAAAAGAAACTTTTGAAATATTCCCTTTTTTTGAGAATAAAGGCATGTGTGTGCCACCATTCAGCCTTTGCTTTATGCTTTCTTAAATGATAGTTTTTTTGACTTTGAAATTGGAAGATGCTATGAAAAATTCTAAACAAGTTCTGATATATTCTCTATATAAGCTTACACTTCCTGACAGTTTCAGATGCAGATAACTTAGTGCCAGAGTTTAGTTATGAGATTTTGGTTTTGAACTCTTAGCTTCTGAAAAGGAGTGTCGAGTTTTATTTCTTCCAGGATTATTCTGTATTTCTGCTTATTCCCTTCTTTGACTTTTTCTGATATCTTTCCCTAAAACTTTTTTTTTTGTTTATTTCAATCTTTTTAGTAGACTTTCTAACTAACCATGGTCTTGTATTAGTTTTGGCAGTACTGTATGGTGACAACATAGCTGAATTAGGCCAGACTTTCTAGAGAGGTGAATAAGAAAACATATAGACAAAATATCTTGGTGTATGTAGATGCCAGAATTATCAGTTAGAAACTTGTTTCTAAATTATATAAAATTCTTCAGTTATCTGAAATTCTTTCCATGTGCTTTATAACATAATGATTTATAACACGAGGTAGCATTTATACTTAGGGAGATAATATCTAACCTATCTTTACCTGGTTGATTGATTGTGTATTTGTTACTAAAATTTCTATTTCATTCTTTGGCTATTTCTTAGCGATCATATAACCTCTTATGAAGTTTTATTTATTATTAAGGTAGAAGTAGCCTTATGAAGAAAAGAGGCTTCTACAATTATTAGTAATAATTAGTAATTTTTAGCTAGTTATTATAGCTAGTGCATATCAAATATCATAAATATTGAAGCTAATGGGGTTTGGAATTTCATTATATTATTTCCTCTCTCTTCTTGTATTTGAATATTTTCATATAAAACTCTTAAAAGTTGTTGAACTTAACTTTTATTATGTAATCTATAAAGTGAGAAATGTACATGGAAGGACGCGATAACAATGTCAAGGCTAGGCATTGCTGTTGACACTTTTAGAGCTCCTTTTACTTGCAAAGTGCAAGTTCACCAATGTAGATCATATTCTGAGCATTAAAGCTTGTAGAAGTTAATGTGTTTGAAATCTTATAAAGTATGTAATCTGAAGCCAATAGAATTAAATTAGATGTTTATCACAGCAGTAAATATTTTTAAGTTAAACAAACTTCTAAATAGTTATTAAATATGTCAAAGAATATTTTTAATTTATTCATTTTTATTTCATGTACATTGGTGTTTTGCCTGCATGCTTGTCTGTGCAAGGGTGTTGGATCCCCTGGAACTGGAGTAAGAGACAGTTATGCACTGCCATGTGTGTGTTGGGAATGGAGCCTGGTTATTTTGGAAATGAAGCCAGTGCTCGTAACCTCTGAGCCATCTCTCCTGCTCTCAAAGAAGAATTTCTAAATAAAATAACACTTCTCTTAATAAGTCCAAAATAAAGATATTGAGTTTATAAATAAATAAAAACCCAACATATTAAAATTGGTGGAATATAGCTAAAGTACCTAAAGGGAACTTTGTAGCTTTGATTGCTAATACTAGAAAATCAGTTTTAAAGAGCTGGAGAGGTAGCTCCGTAGTTAAGAGTGCTTTTGCTTTTCCAGATGGCTTATTTTTACCTAGCACCCATGTTGGATTGCTCATGATAGCCTGTGACTCCAGGGGATCTGACACTCTCTGCTGGCTTTGTGGGCAGTTTCCCACATGTAACATATGCACACAGACATGCACACATAAATAAAAATAAATCTTTTTTTTAAAAAGAGAAGAAAGTGAGTTTCAAATTTGGTAAATTAAGTGTCCACCAGAGAAAATGGGCTTAAGAAATGGCTCAGAGGTTAAGAATACTTTTTGCTCTTCTACAGGATCAGGGTTCGGTTCCCAACACCTACATGCCAGCTCACAACTGTCTAACTCCAGTTCCCGGGAATCACACACCTATTCTGACCCCTGTGGGCTTTCACACGCTGCACAGACGTACACTTGGACACACACATACACAAAAATAAAAGTAATTAATTTTTAAAAAGATAACAGAAAAAGACACACAAAGACAAAGAAAATACCCCAAAGAAAATAAAGTTTTAGTGAGCTTACTGTGTCCCATAGTATAGTATAGTTTATTTCTTGTCTTACAGTTGAGAGCATGGTAGCTGTTGGAAAAGCCATTCTTGAGAGGAATAATTTCACCGACTTTACAGATGTGAGGTATGTATGTTTTACATAGAAACCAACATTAATTACTGATTCTTATGAAACTTGTTTTTCATGAAAAGGGAATTTGGAGTGACAGAGTTTGTGCTTTAGATACAGTATTCCTGGAAGTGAGAATATAGTTCATTGCTAGTATAATTGTAATAAACCTGTTGTGTATGCCTCAACATCTGAAAACCTTCACTTGTACTGTAGACAGACAAGTGTATATGAATAATAAGTAGGTAAAATAGTTAGAAGTCCTCCCTTCTTGTTCCATATTCTAATTCCTACAAAATTGGGTTAAGCGAATTAACGTATGTAAACTTACATGGCTTAAAAATACATTGTTGGGCTGGGCAGTGGTGATGCATGCCTTTAATCCTTACTCAGGGGTCATCGGCAGGTGGGTCTCTGAGTTTGAGTCCAGCCTGGTTTATAGAGAAAGTTCCAGGACAGACAGGGCTACATAGAGAAACTGTCTTGAAAAGCAAAACAAAACCAAAAACCAAACCCCAAAAAACCAAAAACATTGTTGGGAATAAGGAGGTAGTTCTGTGAGCGACAGTGCTTGCAATACAGCCCTAAGGACCCTAGTTTGAATCCCTAGAATTTAGGTAAAAACCCAGGCAGGGCTGTAGCTTACTTGTAGCTCCAGCATGTTTAGAAGCAGAGACAGGAGGATTTCTGGGGCTTACTGGCTGCCAGTCTAGCTCCAGACTCAGAAAAAGGTCCTGTCTAAAGATAAATGATGAACCAGGACACCCAATGTCATTTTCTTGATATGCATGAGTGTGCATACCAGCCACTCCTATGTATGTGTGCATACATAGACACACACCATTATTAGGCTTCTAGCATAAAATTAACTTGAGTTCATTGCTTGCTGAACTGAACTCTAGCATTTAACAATGTTTGAGCCAAAACCCATAACATTTAATTGATTTTTAAGAGTTTAAATGCTTTCCTATTTAAAAGAATTATTTTATGTTTTATAAAGTAAGAAATTATCAACAAATAATATAAGTTGTTTTAGTATTTAGCGACCTTATCTGATGACAAAAGCTTTTTTTTTTTTTGTAATAATGATTGGATTAATCTTACTAGAGAAATGTTGGACAAGGTCTGAGTATTTTATTAGGGGTGAAAGCCTGCCATCTACTGGCAATGTCTTAAAGTAAAGCCCACTACCTGAATGTCTAGTACATTTGCTTTGAGGTTCATTACAGGCACACATCTTTGCAGAACTAAGCTTATTTGGGTAAGTACTGAAGTGATTAGTAATAAT